TGGCAAACATACATTCACCAATGTCATATACACAGTAGAGCTGCAAGCATACATTCACCAATGCCAAATCCACAATAGAACTGCAAACATATATTTGTGAATGTCATATACACAATGGAGCTGCATGTAAAATTGCTGTGGTGCACAAACGCCAAGACGGCTGTTGTCATACTGGAAATACGTCATGAAAGGTTTGCGAAAGGTCGTTTGCACACACCCGGAAGTGGTAGTGGGGAGTGTTAGTAGATGGGTGTGTGTAGTTAGGAGAGTTTAGTGGTAATTTGCAAGTCTATTTTTTTAGTTTTGTTGTATGGTTGTGCTGTACAGGCCAGAGGACCTGTGTGAATGGGGCATTTTTACTTTTTTTTTTCCTCAGCTCATTAATTTCAATGGGCTGCATAACGTGTGGGAACATGCAAAAATACTGCAGGCATATTATTCTAAAAGTGTGTTGCACCTAACCACACAGTAGTGTGGTGCCATGCGTTTTGGTGGCTGTGAATGCATCTGTGTTTACTAGACATGTGGAGGTGCAATTAAGTGTTCATCATGGTACCCGTGCATATCTGCAGAGGGCATTGCATTTCTGTGCTGTGCTGGAAAAAACATGCTCTTGCATGCGTTTCTGCACCACAAATGGTGTGAACAAGTCCTAAGGGCCAGTTCACACTATGGAAACACAGTCTAGATGTGTTCCAGATGCATTTTTGCATGCACTTTTTGAATGCATGTTTAGCGTGTTCCAGAGCATTTTGGATGCATTTTTTGTGTGTTCCAGTGCATTTTGGATGCGTTTTTGACGTGTTTCAGTGCATTGTTTTATGCATTCCAGTTGATTTTTTTACCCTCTTTTTCTTCAATTTAATTAGGGACATATGTGTTTTTGTGCAGCATATGTGTTTTTATGTGTGGGCAGCACAGTGGCTAAGTGGTTAGCACTTCTGCCTGGCAGTGCTAGGGTTGCTGGTTCAAATCCCAACCATTGCACCACCTGCCTGGAGTTTGCATGTTCTCCCTGTGCCTGCGTGGGTTTCCTCCAGGTATTCCAGTTTCCTCCCACACTCCAAAGACATGCTGGTTGGTTAATTGGCTCCTGTCTAAATTGGCCCTAGTATGTGTATGTATGAATGTAAGTTAGGGACCTTGGATTGTACACCCCTTGAGGGTTAGGGACTGATGTGAATGTACAATATATATGTAAAAGCGCTGCATAAATTGATGGCGCTCTATAAGTACCTGAAATAAATAAAATAGTGCATTTTACCACGTTCCAGTACAGTTCTATGCATAAACAATGCAGCCTGTTCAACTTTTTTGCCAGCACCTGCAACGCACTGGAACTGCAAGCGCTGATGTGAACTATGACATTGACAACCATATAACGTTCTTTCTGTGCAATTTGGATGCAAAAAAAGCAACTGAAACACATATAGTGTGAACTGGCCCTAAAGGTTATTATAGGTAAGGGAAAGGGACTGACCAGAAATTGTAAATTCCATCAGACTAGTGGTGAGATACAATCAGGAATCATATAATAATGCGAGATCTGAGCTGTAGGTGATAGGAAATGAGACACATTAACTTGATCAGTAAATAAATAGTTAAATAAAAAGAGTGGGACGGTGATACATAGATTTGCAGATGGAACAGGTGATGACAGGGGGGTGGGGGAGGGGGTCAAGTTGTATAAGGAGAGAGGTTTAAGAGCTTGTTCTAACTCTTGCCAAACAGCCCTATAGCGTTTGACAGGCATTTGGGAAGCATTTTTAACGCTACCCCAACATAGATGTGCTGGTGGCAGCATCTTTGCTTTGTCTAAATGGTCCCTAGAATGTGAATTAGAATGAGGCCTTGTCTGTTCAAACACCTTTAAAGCTGCATCTTATGTGAATGTCAAAAGATGGGATGAGATAAGGGCCTGGACTAATGATTGATTTGATAATGCTGGTTTGCACTCCGCCCCCTTCTGGGAAGGTTTGTCAAGCCAAGAGCTGAGAGAGAGAAAAGGATTTAAAAAAAAAATAATGGCATGGAGTGTTTCTCCCCCCCCCCCCCAAATCCATAACAGACCCTTATCCGCGCATGCAGATACCACATGCCTTCAAAGATTTATTTCCTTTGTTGAATTGCCTGCTTGTTTCACACTAGATGTGATTTAAAATTGTGCTTTTTGTTGGCAATTTCACTGTTTTCTGTAGATTTAACAATGAGTTATTGCATTTTCAATTGTGTTTTGCATTGTGATTTCTACTGTAGTCTATATGTGAAATCGCTACAAAATGCAGAAAAAGTTAGACAAGAACTACTTTTTAAATTGTGCTGCAGCAAATTGCTTACATTAAGACACTCACATCCACATTCATTAGATCTGATATCCGGTACAATTTCAATTCCCAAATCGCACCTGAAATCGTGCACCCGGGATGCAAATCGAATGCCAAATTGCACCCGATGTGACCGGGGGCTAACACCACAGTCGCATCTAATCCGATTTGGAAATTGGTCAACTTACAGTGAAGTCGCACAATTTCAAAATCAGATTGGATGTGAATGGAGCCTATAGTGGACAATAGGGTGCGACTTGGCCTACGATTTGCAAGTCGCAGGGCATGCAAATCACATGCTAAATTGCACTCAGTGTGACTGGAGGCCACCCCCGTCACATCCACGTGGGTTTTGAAGTGGTGCAACTTACACTACGGTCACATCATGTGACTTACAGTGAAGTCGCATGATTTCAAAGTTTGGGTACATGCTGATCTAAAGTGCGATTTGCAAGACATCTGACACAGATCTCTCTGCAAATCTCATGAAAAGTAGTGTATTCAACCAAGTTGGAACCACACCAATATGAACGCTCTAATAGCGGTCACATTGAGTGTGACTTGGCATGTGATTTGCATGACATGTGACTTGCAAATCGTATGCCAAGTCGCATCCTATTGTCTGCTATTAGAGCAGTCACATGGGTGCGTTTCCAACATTGATTTCTAAAGTAGTACTTGTACTACTTTTGTGGCGATTTGCATAGATATCTGTGTCAGATGTCTTGCAAACCGCAAGGAAATCGGCATCTTCACTGTAAGTCACACAATTTCTAAATCGGCTTTGATGTGACCGGGGTGTAAGGCCTTTTTATGTTTGGGATTTCCCATAAATCAAAAAAACACTCAGGAAATCACATACTAGCAAAAGTAAATTGACATTTTCAGTATTGCATGCGAGATGTGGTCATGTGACTGCCTTAACTCATGCGATAATCTGGAGTGAATTGTGCCCATAGGGCCAAGAAATATTGCCAATAGGGTTCCCTTTTTACATCCCTGTTCAATGTTCTGTTGTATGCTGCACAGGTACACTTCACTTTGGCTTTCTTTCTGACTCTGATTTGTGGGGCCTGTATACCAAGGGTTAACGCAGGTGGGAAGAGAATTAATCAGGTGCAAACACTTTCTCTGACCAAATGAATGACAGTGGTGGGTATGGCCTATGTTATATAAAAAGTTACAGTAGTGGGTGATTTTTGCCTTGGAAGAGGCCAGGCATTTTCTGTAAGTTTGCTTTGGAAAGGAAGAGATATTGTGGTGAATTGCCCCAGACCTCACTCACGCTGTGTTTTGATGTAGGCTGTAAATGTGTTGCTTTTTTTTTGTTCTAAGGTGTCTGTGTGTTATTGTACAATGATTGTGTGTTTATTATCTTTGCATTGTAATCCTAACACTCTGCTCTTCCAAAGATTTTTTTTTGGACGGCGGAAGTAATTGAGATCTGGGAACCGGATTTGGAGGTGCAGAGAAGTACCCAGGGATAAAACATGGAGGGGTAAAGTAACTACTGTATAGTGAAGGAAAAAAAAACGGACCCAGGTCCCATCCAACTTGGAGGATGGATTAATTACCCTATGACCAGAAAATTTCTTACCATCCATGAGAGGGACCTCTGATTGACCTCACCTATACGCCCATACCATCAGAGGGAAAGGTTTCCAGACCAGGTTCCAGTGAAGGGAGATCTCCAGGCTGGCAAGTACTGATTAATGCGCATTAAGATTGCGCTTCTGGTGAGTTTGCAATACTACTAATCTATCGCAGACCACCGGATGTTAAGCACTTCCCACTTTATGGTTTGATTCCTGATTTCCAGAATTTACGTGCACAACCTGCTGGATTTTGGAATAGCACCTTCACGTTACAGAGCTAACCTATTTACCTTTTTGTTTATCTATACTACCTTTTAACTGATGATTGTGATTTTAATTTGATATGAGGATCATGATGTTTTAGATGGATTTTTATTCTGGTGATTATGAGGCTTTAGATGAATATTGATTGGTTTATTATATGCGCTGCACTTTTCTTTGACATATTTGCTATTTTAAAAGTGTGTTGCACCTAACCGCACAGTAGTGTGGTGCCATGCGTTTTGGTGGCTGTGAATGCGTCTGTGCTTACTAGACGTGTGAAGGTGCAATTAAGTTTTGCATGGTACCTGCACACATCTGCAAAGGGCATTGCATTTCTTTGCTGTGCTGGGAAAAACATGCTCTTGCATGCGTTTCTGCACCACAAATGGTGTGAACAAGTCCTAAGGGCCAGTTCACACTATAGGAACAAGATGTCAAGATGTGTTCCAGATGCGTTTTTGCATGCACTTTTTTGATGCATGTTTAGTGTGTTCCAGTGCATTTTTTTTATGTCTATAAATAAACAATGCAGCCTGTTCGATTTTTTGGCAGCACCTGCAACGCACTAAAACTGTAAGCGCTGATGTGAGCTATGACATTGACAACCATATAACCTTTCTGTGCATTTTGGATGCAAAAAAAGCAACTGAAACATGCAGTGTGACCTGGCCCTACAGGTTATTATTAGAGATGAGCGAAGTATTCAAAAATTTGATTCGACTGATTCGGCGAATTCGTGGAAAAATTTCGATTCGAGTCGAATATATTCGCTGTGAATTTAACTTAAAAAAGGGTGTTTCTAGGCTTCAGAGAGACTTAATATTAGTGCAGAACACTGTACCTTTAATTTAAATGCCCTTGGAGTGCTGGGGAAGAGAAATAATACTGTCAGTCAGTATGACATGCAGATGAGTGCCGTCGATCTTAGAATCACCGCACACTTCACTCATTTGGGCAGTCACGGGGCCAAAACCAGAGTGTGGAGCCACAGTGTGGCGGTGGAGGCAGCAGCAATGGGAGGCCATACAGCACCCTATGACAAAAATGGAAACCACCAGCAGTGTGAGGAGACCTGAAAGTGGCACATGGCAGAGTGTGGCGATAGAGACAGCAGCAAATTGGGAGGCCGTAAAGGGACCCATGACACACTCTGGACCTGGCAGCAGCATGAGGAGGCGGTACAGTTCGGGGCCCATGACAGATTACGGGGGCCTGGCAGCAGCATGAGGAGTCGGTACGGGGGCCCATGGCAGATTACGGGCCTGGCAGCAGCAATGGGAGGCCGTACAGGGACCCATGACACACTCTGGACCTGGCAGCAGCTATGGGAGGCGGTACAGGGCCCATGACAGATTACGGGCCTGGCAGCAGCATGAAGAGTCGGTACGGGGGCCCATGACACACTCTGGACCTGGCAGCAGCATGAGGAGGCGGTACAGGGGCGCATGACAGATTACGAGCCTGGCAGCAGCAACTTGGACAGGAGGACGTTCAGCTTCTGCAAACCGTCGGGTGCGTGCTCGCAAACTGTTGTCTCTTGGAAACGGATTCCAAGAAAGACTGCTGACGGAATCCGTGAAGAGGAGTAGCAGGAGAAGGAGCATCTGAACGAGCGGAATATGCCAACAAGCGACAACAGGGGCCCATGACAGATTACGGACCTGGCAGCAGCATGAGGAGTCGGTACGGGGGCCCATGGCAGATTAGGGGCCTGGCAGCAGCTATGGGGGCCCGTAATCTCTGCCAGCACCCTATGACAAAAAATGGAAAACACCAGCAGTGTGAGGAGACCTGAAAGTGGCACATGGCATGAGACACTGTGGACCTGGCAGCAGCATGAGGAGCGGTACAGGGGGGGGCCCATGGCAGATTAAGGGCCTGGCAGCAGCTATAGGAGGCCCGTAATCTGCCAGAAACCCTATGTCAAAAAAATTGAACACACCAGCAGTGTGTGAGGAGACCTGAAAGTGGCACATGGCAGAGTGTGGCGATGTAGATACAGCAAGCAATGGGAGGCCATAACAGGGACCCATGAGAGACTCTGGGACTTGGCAGCAGCATGAGGAGGCGGTATATAGGGGCCTATGGCAGATTAGGGGTGCCAGGCAGCAGCTATGGGAGGCCCGTAATCTGCCAGCACCCTATGTCAAAAAACTGAACACACCAGCAGTGTGTGAGGAGACCTGAAAGTGGCACATGGCAGAGTGGGCGATGGAGACAGCAGCAATGGGAGGCCGTACAGGGACCCATAGACAGACTCTGGACCTGGCAAAGCAGCATGAGGAGAAGGTGGTATATAGGGGCCTATGGCAGATTAGGGCCTGGCAGCAGCTAATAGGAGGCCCGTAATCCCAGCACCCTATGTCAAAAAATTCAACACAACCAGCAGTGTGAGGAGACCCTGAAAGTGGCACATGGCAGAGTGTGGCGATGAGACAGCAGCAATGGGAGGCCGTACAGGGACCCATGACAGACTCTGACCTGGCAGCACATGAGGAGGCGGTATAATATAGGGCCTATGGCAGATTAGGGGCCTGGCAGCAGCTATAGGAGTGCCCGTAATCTGCCAGCACCCTATGTCAAAAAATTCAACACACCAGCAGTGTGAGGAGACCTGAAAGTGGCACATGCATGAACACTGTGGACCTGGCAGCAGCATGAGGAGGCGGTACAAGGGCCCATGGCAGATTAGGGGGCCTGGGCAGCAGCTATAGGAGGCCCGTAATCTGCCAGCACCCTATGTCAAAAAATTGAACACACCAGCAGTGTGGTGAGGAGACCTGAAAGTGGCACATGGCAGAGTGTGGCGATGAGACAGCAGCAATGGGAGGCCGTACATGGACCCATGAGAGACTCTGGACGGCATGCAGCATGAGGAGGTTGTATTGGCACAGCATCAGCTAAGGAGGAGCCAGCACCCTATGTCAAATATAGAGGGTACCTGAAAGTGCACATGGCCACTGATGGCAGCTAGCATGAGATGCGGTACAGGGGCCCAGCAGATTAGGGAGCCTGGCAGCAGCTATAGGAGGCCCGTAATCTGCCAGCACCCTATGTCAAAAAATGCGAACACACCAGCAGTGTTGAGGAGACCTGAAAAGTGGCACACATGTCCGCATGAGACAATGGACCTATGCAGGGACCCATGAGCATGAGGAGGCAGCAGCATGGTAAGGATGAGGTAGGGGCCCATGGCAGATTAGGGGGCCTGGGCAGCAGCTATGGGGAGGCCCGTAATCTGCCAGCAACCCTATGATTGAACAAAAAAATGAACACACCAGCAGTGTATGAGGAGACCTAAATGTGAGGGCACATGCACAAGACTGTCGCGATGGAGACAGCAGCAATGGGAGGCCGTACAGGGACCCATGAGACACTGTGGACCTGGCAGCAGCATGAGGAGGCGTTACAGGACCCATGACTATATCTCCCATGGCAGATTAGGGGGCCTGGCAGCAGCTATGGCAGCAGGAGGCCCGTAATCTGCCAGCACCCTATGACAAAAAATTGAACACACCAGCAGTGTGGTGAGGAGACCTGAAAGTGGCACATGGCAGAGTGTGGCGATGGAGACAGCAGCAATGGGAGCCGTACAGGGACCCATGACAACTCTGGAACCTGGCAGCAGCATGAGGAGGCGGTATATAGGGGCCTATGGCAGATTAGGGCCTGCAGCAGCTATAGGAGGCCCGTAATCTGCCAGCACCCTATGTCAAAAAATTCCACAACACACCAGCACAGTGTGAGGAGACCTGAAAGCGGCACATGGCAGAGTGGTCCGCGATGGAGACAGCAGCAATGGGAGGCCGTACAGGGACCCATGACAGACTCTGGACCTGGCAGCAGCATGAGGAGGCGGTATAATAGGGGCCTATGGCAGATTAGGGGGCCTGCAGCAGCTATAGGAGGCCCGTAATCTGCCAGCACCCTATGTCCAAAAAATTCAACACACGCAGCAGTGTGAGGAGACCTGGAAAGTGGCACATGGCAGAGTGTGGCGATGGAGACAGCAGCAATGGGAAGACCGTATCAGGGACCCATGAACAGACTCTGGACTTGGCACACTAGCATACGGAGGCGTATAATAGGGCCTATGGCAGATTATTAGGGCCTGGCAGCATCTTATGGGAGGCCCGTAATCTGCCAGCACCCTATGTCAAAAAAATTGAACACACCAGCAGTGTTGTGAGGAGACCTGAAAAGTGCACATTGCAGAGTGTGTGCGATGGAGACAGGCAGCAATGGAGGCCCCGTACAGGCACCCAATGACAGACTCTGGACCTGGCAGCAGCATGAGGAGGCGGTATAGGGGCCTATGCAGATTAGGGGCCTGGGCAGCACTATGGGAGGCCCGTAATCTGCCCAGCCACCCTATGTCAAAAAAATTCAACACAAAAAATACTGAAAACGAAACACACCAGCAGTGTGAGAGGAAACCTGAAAGTGGCACATGTTTGAGGCATGATTCATGGCGGATTTAGTCCAGCTTGTGTCAGGAACTGGTGTTTTGAAATCCAGACTAATTCCACCCTGATTCATTTTCACAAACGTGAGTCTCTCCACAACTTGGGTGGACAGTCGTGTCCTCCGCAGGAGTTACAATACCTCCTGCCGCACTAAACACGCGCTCCGATGCCACGCACTGCTACTGGCCGGCATGACAGCCCTTTCAAGGGCAAATTCAGCTAGTTTGGGGGCCAAAGGTCAAGTTTCGTTGCCCAGTAGTCAAGGGAATTGTCTACCTCGTTGGCAGGGTGCTGTCCAAGTAGGCCCAAGCCTGTTTGAGGTCCTGCTCCAGGTCCACCTGATGCTGCTGCTGCTGCGGCTGGTTAGTAGTTTCCCTCACTGCGCTGGTGAAGAAAGCTACTCATCATCGACTGCAGACTGAGGCGAGCCGCTGCTGGTGGAAGCTGCCACAGCTCGCTCCTACCACACGTAACCACCCCTCCCCTGCTGCCATGGCAGCGGAACGCGAGCGCACAGGGCCCCACAGTGTCTGAGGGATGGACGTTGGCCGCACACAAAGGCAAGAGACCAACTGAACTACATAGGGTGGTTTTTATAGTACGTTATTTTGGCCTCCCTCTCAGCAGGTGTGAAAAAAGGCCACCCATTTTTGAACGGTAGCGAGGGTCCAACAATTGGACAGCCAAAAGTCATCCCTCAGACCTGATGGTTCTATTATTCGGCCAGTTACTGTCGCTAACGCAATGCAACCGAGCATAGGCTGATAGGCCATATGTCCAAGGAATTGCGGAGGACTGACGTCCCTGCCTCCATCTCCACAGCATACTGCCTACGGTGCGTCTGGGGTCCTCTGTCGTCCCTCTTCCTCCTCCTCTACCCAGATGCCTCCTGCCTCCTCCACTCCTGTCCGCTGAGTGGAATAACCACACCCATTCTCACTATCAATAATTCCTGAGCACAAATGTCCTCCACTACCTCCACACTCTTCTTCCTCGTCCTGCCCCACAGGGGTTCGTAGGTGCGTTGAGATCTGTGCGCCACGTCTACCGCAAATACCCTGACCCAGCCAATTGTTTAATCAGCAATTTGTTCAAGGACCGTGCAACAGAGAGAATGACGTCCGTTCATCCCATAAGTCCTGTAGCCGCCGACTCACGAATAGCGTGGCCATCCTCAAAGGGCCTGAGCAAAGCGGCAGGTGTCACGCATGAGCTTGCCAATGGCTCGACATCGAAGTTACCACAGCCTGTGAGTTACCTTTATCGCGCCTTGTAGACATCAGGAAATCGGTGATGGCCTTGCGGCTGCATCGTAAAAGGCGGTCTAACATGTGTTAGGGGTTGAACTCCACCTTGATTGCAAACGTCGCAGGATCAGGCGATGATTGTGTGATTCCGTTCTGGCCGCTGCAAGCTCAATGAGGGAGTGCTATTTTGCGGTGTAGGTAATGGCTGAAATGCATGCAAAGTTTTACGCTGACAATTTTAAAGGATGTCTTTGCAGGTGGATGGTGGATTTTAGGAACCGCTTTGACAACCAGATTTGAACACGTGAGCCATGCATGGCGTCATTGCACAACCCCTTCCTTGACGCAGAGCAGAACACCATGTTCTAGTCCGTTGTCGGTCAATACATGGTTACCGATTTTCAGTTTGCACGGAGACAGCCGAGCTGTCCGATTTCTCTGTTTCATTACACTCTGTAAGTTCCTCCACCTGTGTGACTCTAACGTTCGCCAAGGCATACCAGGTGCAGTAACTGCGTGACACCGTTGCGCCCTGCACATGTGATATGCCGGTCGGGTAACTGGGAGCTTGGCACGGGGGTGGCGGCTTGAGACAGAACGGCGGAAGAAGAGGTGGTAGAGGCGGAACGATGCTTTTGTGGGACCAATAACGGTGCAAACGTGGAGGCAAAAGGCTTCGTGACCTGTCGCAAGTAGCTGGTGCTGCCTGTGGACGGCACCAACGTTCTACTTCC